AGATTTAGTGAAAATTCTCCAATTTACGGAACCAAATTCTGACTTAAAACGAACAGTTACCGTAAAATCGAAAATTCTTACAGTTTTCGAATTTCCTTCTTTTCTTTTGGCATTTTTCATTTTTATGCTGAAAAATTTTTCTTATCTTGTAGTCTACTAAAAATATAGAGAGAAAATAATTTAATGTATTTCTCGGAACTGAAATCGGACATAAATTCCAACTACAATCGAAAACCGAAAAAAATGAAAATTTTAAAAATTTCATATTTCTCTCTAATAATTTAAATAGACTAAAATGTCTAAATAAATTTTCTCACTTCTTTGAACATTTATAACTTGTTACTATCATATTAACTGAGAGGGATGTTACACACACACACACACACACATACACACACACACACACACACACACACATATATATATATGTATATATATATTAAAAACATATAATATTAGACATATAATTAAGTCGTAACGCTTACTAATAAATATGAAAAATGTAATAAATAAAAATTTTATAATTAATAAAAGTAAAAATGAACTTTTAAAACTTGTATTTCTTCTTATTTTTATTATTTGTCACTCTAGCTTAATTGATCATTGATTAAATAAATGTAATTTTGGCTATTTTGTTCATATTTTTTCATTTTAACCCTCCATCTATTACACAGTGTCTCTTCATATCCCATCTCCATCGTTTCCCATAACATCCATTAAATAGGGTTAATATTGACAAGAAAAAAAATTCTTAATTAGTGTGTTGCTTTTCAAAATGACAAATAATAAAAATAGGAGGGAGTCCTTATCTATGTAAATGAGTTGAGTTATTAAACGGTTATTAATTTGTTGTGTTTATTACTTATATGTAAAAGTTTAGGTGATAGACAATAGTTATTTGTATTTTAATCCATGTAAATTAGAATTGTTAAACTTTTATTTGCTATTAGTTTTGAAATATAATATATAAATATCGTATTACATATATAAAATAATAATTATTTTCAGTATTTAATAATGAATATGTATAAATTAAGGGAACTTAACTGAGAAATTAATGGGTTATCTAGAGATAAAATAATGTATGATTTCTAAAAAAAGATTATGGACTGAAAAATACTACTACATAAATATTTTAATGTTTAAGAAGAAATACAAAAAAATTATTATATTGCAAAGAAAAATAAAAAGGCAGGTATTCCGCTGAAAATTCCAATGGATACTTCAATGGTATACCTATCATGGAAAATTTTCATTGGCTAATTACTAATTTATTTTGCTAGCGTCTAAATATATGAACTATGTAAGAAATTAGTTCTCATAAATAGTGATCCTATATTGTAAATTTTTTTAAATATAATTAAAAAAATAAAAATTTTGTAATACATAATGTAAATTTTTATAATAACTTCGTAGTAATAAAGTTCACAGAGCGACTAAGAGTATCATATATAATAGAGTTAAAATTCTTCTCTTCTCAAATATTTAACTAATGATATGCTTCTTAATATTGTCTCATTGTAGGTTCTTTATCTTGAATTTTCGAAGCATTGTGTATGATTAAAAAAAATTAGACAATGAAAGCATTAGAAAAGTTATTAGGCACATAGGTACTGCAAATTCAAACGAATGTAAAAGATATTATGATAAACAATGCTAAAATCATTGCAACAACTAAGATGATCAATGATTTGTAAACAATAGATTATATTGTTCGTTTGTCTTCCAAATAAGTAACATTGGAACAAAAATGTCGAAGCCTGATCAAAACATTCTTGATTGTTTGAATGAAATTGTCTTTTTTATAGGAATATTTGCAATCTCATTGTGTATTTGCTCGAACATATGTGCAATTACTTTACAGTACTTACTTTTATGTAATGTGATGATTTCAAAAAGTAATTGAGCGCCTCAAGAGAATTACATGGAACCAAAATTTTGAAAGTTAACTTTTATTTGGAGATGAAATTCATTCTCACCCCAGTGAGACAATGTCTCCATGGGGTAGGTACCAATTTGACTATATGGACATAGTTAGAGATGTTAAGACATCATTATGTTAATAGAAAAAAAAACATTAGAAGCTCATTTGTTCTATATTTTAATGATATGTTTAATAAATTAATTAATTTATTTTACTAAATTCGACAAGAATTATTCGTTACCACATGCGATGCACGTGCACTTTACTAGTACAACTAGTACTAACCCGTGCGATGCACGAGATGGTATATTTATATGAATTTTTTTTTTCAATATTAGCATTAAATTTAATGGACTTTGTAGATATGTAACACATATAAAATGAAAACAAACAAACTTAAAACTTCATAAATTAGTAAACACTTCTTTGTACACAACGTTTTGGGTTTGATTTGGTGGCAAGTCATCGTCATTACAGACTAATATCTTCAACCCAATTCGATTGGTGACACAGGACAGAGATATTAATTGCATCATTACCATATGGTATGTGTCTTAGGCCTAAAAAAAAAAAAGTGGATCATCTCCACCTCTATTAATCAGAGTTGTGTTTTTAGCCAGAGCGTTAAACTTGAGACGGTTAGCGCTAGTATGTAAATTAATACTAATTTGATTTTTTTTCCCGAAACGATAGAGATATTATAACTAAAAATTTGATTATACTATATTTATTTATTCTTTGATAATAAGAAAAAATAACAATTTTACTTATTCTTGTTCACCACATAATATTTAGTTATTATTTTATTATAAAATTTTTGTCATATAATGTCATTATTATTATTATAAATCTTATAGAAATAGTATTCTTCTTAATTTTATTTTATATAATATTTAATGTACGTTAATATTATTTACTAATGTAATTAATATATATTATGTAAATAAATTGTAAATAGAAAAACCTTTTCTTCACACCTTTTTTCCCATAAAAAAAATCACCAACCAACAAAATCTCCAAATTCATCTAGGCACGAAACATAACACACTAAAAGAATTCCGAATTTCCAGCACATTGCAAAATATTAAAGGGTGAATATCTTCTTAAAAAAAATGCTTCAATCTTACCCGATGTCGAGCCACACGATGCCACACGGTCTTAGTAATCAGGCAAACCTATTCATTGACCATTCAATTGTCAGCTAGACAAATCCTAGACGACAAAGATTACAGACTATCATTTCCGAATTCAATATAATAAAGAAAAGTAGAAGATGGAAGATAAAAACAAACAATTCAATCCATTTCTTGTATTCTCATTTATTTCGAAAAATTCAAAAGAATTGATGTATAATGATCTGTTGATAATCCACAAATACCGATGGACTGTGAACTATACTCCTTTTCAAAGTATGCCCGTTCGAGAAAGTATCCGTACCCTTATCAATAACGATGGAGCTTCTGAAATTACACTGCCTCCTTTTAAGCTAGTCGACAAAATTATCGAGAAGTAAAGGCCAAGCTTCGCATGTATCATAATTTTGAAGGTCCGGAAAGCTTATCTGCCAATAGTTAAAAAAAAAAAATGATAGTAAAATGGGAATTAAGAGCAATGAGAAAACCTCTTCACAAAACCGTAGAAAATTCTTCCACTGATCCATATTCATCACTTTGTAGTCACTCTGGATCTGATACCCAAATTTTCAATAAGAAAAAAGAAAAAGAAAAAAAGAATGTCAAGAAAGAGAGACATTCACAGTTATCCGAGGTTATACGACTTAAAATATGCTGATTTGAATCATTTGATATAGTTTTGGTTGCGTACCTTAAGAAATTGGATGAATGAATCAACTTGTGCCGGATATTGAAACCCTAATACCAGATCAATCAATATGCAGGTGCTCTCAATATCTAAACATTTCTGTTTTTTCTCTAAAATTTTTTAATAAACCAGCCGAATAAGAAATAATCGAAGCACACACATTTACTCAGAAATGCAGGTTTACAATATGTACAGGCATACCTGTTAAACAGTAGCGAAAGGCAAACAAATAGAAATCTTCAAAGTCTACTGACTTCAAGGCCTTCCCATCAACAAATCGAAAATAGTGAAGTCCACATTCAAAAGAATGATAAAATAAATAAAAATAATGAAGTTTACAAAAAGGAAATACCTCTTTCTTCAATTCTGGCAGTGATTTCTTCAATTTTTTAACATTATCAACTCGAAGAGCTTTCAAGCCTCTTCTCCACTCATCCTAATGATAAAAAGATGATAACATCGAGAGAAACCAGGGCTTATGCAGTCTCCACATAATAAAAATAAAAGAACTGATAAATGTTAAATAAGACAGAGTTTACCTGAGTAAAATATCCCTACTTTTGGGCGTTCATTTTCCTTTAGAACATGTGAAATTTGTGAAGGCTCAGTTCATAAGAAATTATTACACCATATATTCTTGAGATACTATTAACTTGTGACATATTTTTGTATATCACATTATCACTTACCAAGCAAGAATCAAAATCTTGATATCAGTGTAATCCACCTCAAGATCCGAATATAGTGCCTCGATCCCTTCTGGCCTGTGAAACTCAGTGAAGAAGAGGAAATACAGTCTTGTGTCATCATTCTTCGAATATTCTAAAATATTTCATTTTTCATTTTCATTAGATATAAAAGAATGTTACAAAATCATCTTCAAAATTGGGCATAACACAATTAGGAAACCTCATAAAATTGCAATTCTGCAATAATGATTCAAAAAGTTGAAGACGAACACGATTCAGTCGAACATCAAAACCCCAATTGAAATGAAGAAAAGACAAAAATAAACAAACAAAAAAAATTCATTTTTTACCCATTGAACCAATTGCCCATTAGCAATAGCAGATTAGAATTTAGATTTGGTCAGATGAACTATTCAGAGACCATACAAACAAAATCACAAACAGAATGTTAAAGATCTTAAATTACCTGGAGAAGACGGCCTTAGTTGCGGCACTTGAGGAGAAACGACGACTGGTTAGGATAGGAGGTAATGGCGTTGCTCGAGATGCGGGTTCGGAGAAGGTCGGTGCAGAGAGACAAATAAGGAAATAATACGGTGTAGGAAAGTGCGCCGGCAAAGGATGGCGATGGTGGTGAGTTCGTCGGCATAGGGCAGCGAGATGCGGCGCTGCGCGGTGGTGGTGGAGGATTCTACTTCAGCAACTTGAAGATGTAGATCTTGTATAGATGTTTATCTCATCCGATTTTTTGGAATGAATTTGTTTAGGATAATTACTAAACACGATATTTAAATGACTTTTCGTCCAATCTGTACCAAACTAAATGCCTTGAAAATTGGAAATAAGTTAGGTATGATTTAAAACAAATAGAAAATCAAGAGGATTGTTAAGATAATTACTAAACACTTGATATTTAAATGACTTTACACCAAACTAAATGCCGTGAAAATTGGAAATAAATTAGGTATGATTTAAAACATTTGTTTTTTTAAAAGACTTTCCACAAATGAATTTTCTTAAAGTTTCCTTAAATGAATTTTTTACCTCTCTTTTTCAATATATATCTATACTATTATAAAAGGACGAGTGATTTTGTAAAAATAATGATCTGCCTAAAAAACCCTTACTTTGACATATTTTTAATGGCAAATTAGTAATACAGTAATATCCATCTTATTTTATATTTTTAATTAACAAATGAACTACCTAAAAAATCCTTACTTTGACTTAATTTTAATGACAAATTAGTAATACACTAATACTCTTCAAATCTTATTTTTTTTTGTAATCACTAATATTTAATTAAATAAATAACGGCATAACATTGAAAACTATTACGATACACGCCCAAAGTATGACTCAAATAATTATAAATTTTACTAAAAATGATGGATATTGAGGTGGTCTTTGAAGAAATCGTTATGATTCTCTTAGCTAAGTAGCTATTGGAAAAAAAATAACTCTTCCACATAAGTCCACCAAAACAAATTGGTTCTTGTAAACAATATCTACAAAATAATCTTATGTAATATTTAGTCCAAATGTTTTATTATATTCTATGTCTAAATGTTGTGCTAACTAAAATGATAAATCAAAATACTACTATAAAAGGACGAGTGTTTTTGTAAAAGAAAGAACTAACTAATATACCCTTACTTTGGTATATTTTTAATGACAAATTAGTAATAACATAATATATATCCCATCTTATATTTTTTTTATTAATAACTAATATGTACCTAAATTCTCTTTATTTGACATATTTTTAACCTCAAATTAGTAATAACATATTTTAATTTACAAATGAATTACCTAAAACCCTTATTATAACTTATTTTTAATAGAAAATTAAAACAGATATCGCCAAAAGGCTTATGAGAAATTTCCGAGAACGTGGAAATTTAACTACAACACCACAAAACATTTAGATGGCAAGAAAGTAGCCTATTTGTTGAAGAAAAAAATAAATTATTTTGCATAAAATAACCTACCTGATGGTAGCTAATTTGGCTTCTTCAAAATGGCACTATAGGGTGAGCACACAAATAGATTAAGGGATAAGGTACAAAAATTAACCCAAACATTAAAGCTTTGAAAGGATATATAATTGATGTTTCGAATAAAGTTCTTATTCATAATATAATTTTAATATAAAATCATAATCATATTTTATAATTCTAATATATAAAATTTCTTTAAGGAAAATTGATCCAACAAAAGGCTTATGAGAAATTTAAAAATAAATTATTTTTCAAAATATGAATTATGTATCTTTTTAAAGCTTTGTTGTATGGGTTGATTTTTTGGAGATATGATATGAAAGAAGAATTTTGATAGATATGCGAAAGAAACAAATTCGTGAGGAATAATGGCATGAGAATGTTGAGGTTGATTTTTAGGAGATCTAGAATGTTTTGTTGGTGTATCTATATTTATTTAACTAAATATTAATTATTGATTAAAAATATAAGATATGATGAGTATTAATGCATTACTAATTTGCCATTAAAAATAAGTCAAAGTAAGAGTTTTTTTAGGTAGTTTATTTGTTGATTACAAATATAAAATAAGATGGATATTACAGTATTACTAATTTGCCATTAAAAATATGTGAAAGTAAGGGTTTTTTAGGCAGATCATTATTTTTACAAAATCACTTTAGTCCAAATGTTTTATTATATTCTATGTCTAAATGTTGTGCTAACTAAAATGGTAACTTAAAATACTACTATAAAAGGACGAGTGTTTTTGTAAAAGAAAGAACTAACTAATATACCCTTACTTTGGTATATTTTTAATGGCAAATTAGTAATAACATAATATATATCCCATCTTATATTTTTTTTATTAATAACTAATATGTACCTAAATTCTCTTTATTTGACATATTTGTAACCTCAAATTAGTAATACACTAGTTCTCATTTAATATTTTATTCATTTAATACAATTAAATGAACAAAACATTCCACATCTCTTAAAAATCAACCACAATATTCACACCATTATTCTTCAAGAATTTGGTTTCTTCCACATATCTCCCAAACCGTTTTCTTCAATATCTCTAAAAAGTCAACTCAACATTAACCCAAACAACAAAGTTTTGAAATGATTGAATTTTTTTTTTTTGAATAACATCCTTATTTTTAATATAATTTTAATGATAAAATCGTAATCATATATAATGATTTTAATATATAAAATTTATTTAAACAAAAAATTATGCAACAAAAACAACATAATAAATACTTATAAAAGATCTAAATATTCTCAACTATTTGTCATTACAATTTATAAAGTATACAAAAAGTATTGCATCAAAACAACATAATGTCATTACAATTTATAAAGTATACTTTTCTTAATTTGTCAACTTTCTCATATGTAATACTTTTTTTAACACATCAATACAATCACAATAAGTTCAATAATATTAAAAAAAAGCATAGTTTTTTTCAATTCGACATAAGAAAATCATAAGAAAATAATACATTTTTCAAAATCTTTTTATGAACAAAAATTTTATGTTGTAGTATAGTTGACTCGACAATATAATAGATGATTGTATAAATTACGAATATATAACTAGAATTCTACATACACTTAAAAAAGACTTAAAATATATTTTCTAAAATTAGATAAAAATTATGTCGCAAAAGAGAGATAATAAGATATCATCAAGAATAAAAAGAAAAGAGAGAAATAGAGCGTAAAATTGTAAAATTTGATATCATATTTTCTTTAGTTGGGATACCGCATTGATGTTATAATTTTAATAACGTTATGAGTTGAATTAAATTATAATTGGTTGAGTTGTAAATTAATCATTATTTGTCTTTATTCTTTTAATTTTATTTTCTAAATAGAGGACATGATTAAAATTATGAAAAATATTCCCATAATGTTTGTTAGATATCTTATGCTATTTGTTTTGGGATGATGCCAGTTTCGGGACTATTGGACAAACATGGATCTGCACATGATTGCAACAAAATATTTTTGTTATAATCTTCATTGAAAAATTCAAACGAAAATTGTAACGTTGAAATATTCGTTAGAATTGTTCTCGAAATTTCGCTGTAATATGTTTTCATTGGAATTTCATCATTTTCTTGTAATAAAAGTATGACTCCAAATCAAACTAAAAAATTCGCACTATATATAATATTGTGTGCAGTTAATTGTTTTGAAAATTGTAAATAATGATACAAAATATAACATATTTAATGTAATTATCATTTAATTTATGATAATTAGTAATTAAAAAATACATATAAGTTGAAAAGTCCTTAAATATTTTATTAGTATTATAATAATTAAAGAAGAGGCCAGAATGATGTTCTACTGAAAAGGTAATATTAATATTAAACAAGATGTAAAGATGATGTTCTACGCAATAAAAGGGTAAAACTACACAATGAGAAAGCTTATAACTACCCAATCAGATGAAAGCACGTGATTCTCTCGTTGAGAGCTTGCGATTCTCTCGTTGAGAGCTTCTAAGTCTTTGATCTTCTCTTTTTCTTCCTTTTGCTGTTAATTGTTGGTTGCTATTGAGTTGGTGGGTACTGCGTGATTCAGGTCTCTCCATTATTAGGGTTCCAGAATGGCGGGGCAAGCTAGATTTAGCCCAGACGAAGACATATCCGCACGGCTGGGAGATTTCTCACTCTCAGAAAGAGTGGTTAACGTGATTGATATAGCACAAGATGACATTCGATTGAGCAATGATGAATGCCAACGGAGTTTATTCGGGAAAATAATTGGAGACAGGATAGCAGGGTGGTTCGGAGTCAAGAGGGCGATGTCACAAATCTGGAGACTCAATAAGCCAATGGAAGTGAAAGAACTCAGCCCAAATTATTTCCAGTTTATTTTCCAAAGTAAGGAGGACAAAGAAAGAGTGGCAGGCGGTTCGAATTGGAGTTTCGAAAACCAGTACATCATTCTGAGAGACTGGACTACCAATCTGAATAGCAAGCATGAAAGCTTCCAGGAAATCAACCTTTGGGCTCAAGTCACAAATCTCCCTCTGAATTGGATGAGTGCTGAAGTTGGGTTGAAAATTGCCAGGACTTTCAAAGAGGTTAGTAATGTGGTCATAGCTAACACTGGCAGTCATGGAGGTAAATTGCTGCGTCTTCTTGTGACCCTTAATCTAGATGAACCTATTCCTCGAATAGCTCATATCAGGTTGGGGGACCAAATAGTTAGTGTGGGGTTCAAATATGAGAAGCTTATGAATCTTTGCCATTACTGCGGAAAGATTGGTCACTTAGACCGCAGCTGCCAAAGAAGGCTGCAAGACATTAAGAACAAAACTCTCAAGGATGGTCAATATGGTGACTGGTTAAAGGCACCAGATAGTATGAGATGGCCAGGAGGAAGCTCAGGCAATAGAACTTCCCCGCCAACCTCCCCATCAAACTCAGAACCAAGACATTCTCACAAAGCATCTACCAGTCAAACTGAGGCAGGAAACCACCAACTAATTCCTGTACACAATGAGCCTCAAAAGCAGACAATGGAAATCACTGATAACCAGGATAACAATTTCTCACCAGACCATTTAATCCCAGCTACTTCTATCTCATCCTCGTCAAAAACTAAAACTCCAGAAATTGGGCTTTCTGCAAATTTCAATGATGCCAACCAAGTTTCTGGGCAGCAGATGGATTTGTATATCCCAGTGGAAGATGATCAGTCCACACTAAAGAAAGGGAAGATGCTCACCATAACAGGGCCAGCCAAAACCTGGAAAAGAATTGAGGTCAGGACAGGAAGACTACAAAGGGAGCCAGTCACACATATACCTATTCTTATTGACAACATTTCTGGTTCTAAGAGGGTATCAACAGAGAGTGAGCTACCAGCATCTTCAAAAGAGCCAAAGCAACAGAAACAAGGTGAACCTGCAAACCAACTCATTAATTCTGATAAGGTGGGGGCTGCCAGCCTTGAGTGGCACCCAAGTGGCTAATGTTAGCCATGGTGTGGAATTGTAGAGGGCTGGGTGGGCCCTCTACAATTTTCCAAATCAGAGAGTTGATAAAAACTCATCACCCCAATTTTCTTTTTCTTTCTGAAACAAAAAAATCCAAAGCTTTTGTTTGTACAGTTAGTAAAAAATTAGGTTTTGAGGATAGATTTACCACTATGGACCCATCTGGTCTGAGTGGTGGTTTGGCTCTATTTTGGAAAGGTCATGTTGTTGTTCAGCAAGTGGTGTTAAAAGAGTTCTACATAGCTGTTCAATTTGTTATTCATTCTGAACCATCTCAATGGGGGGTATTTGTTTATATGGGTCCAATCAGAGCAGTCAGAGCAAGTCAATGGGGGATTTTGATGGGAGATAAAGCCTCTTGGGGGAACAACTGGTTTGCAATAGGGGATTGGAATGACATCCTGTCACACACAGACAAAGCTGGTGGAATTCCTAGAACTCAAAGCTCTTTTTCAGGATTTGGTAGCTTTGTGAATGGTATGGCCATGGAGGAGATAAGAATGGAAGGACCTCAGTTCACTTGGTGCAACAACAGAGCTGCTCCTGACTTGGTAGAAGAAAAACTTGACAGAGCCTTTGCTTCTCTGGAGTGGAATCAGAATCACCCAAATGCCACCATCCTGAACAAATTAAGGAGTGCCTCTGGTCACTCTACTCTATTGTTGAATCAGGGTCTGCCTAGAGAAAAGAGGAAAACCATGTTCCATTTTGACAAGAGGTGGTTAAGCATGGAGGGCTGTGATGTGGTGGTCAAGAATGCTTGGTTAACAGAGGTGCAGGGGACTCCTTTCTATCAGTTGAAGGAGAAAATTAAAATTACAAGGATTGCTCTTCTTAGATGGAGTTCTGGTTTCCACTCTCAAAGACAGGAGGAAATTGCAGCACTTACTCAGAAGCTGGAAAGTCTAAATGAAGATAAATCAAGTATTGATTGGGAAGAATGGGAGTCTACCAGAAGAAACCTCAACTCAGCACACAAACAGGAAGAACTCTTTTGGCAACAGAAAGCTAAATCCAAATGGCTGAAAGATGGTGATGCTAATACCAGGTTTTTTCATGCACTAACACTTCAAAGAAGGAGGCGTAATGCAATTACTAGAATAACATCTACTCAAGGCAACACTTACACAACTCAGAAGGAGATTGAGAGGCACATAGCTGAATTCTACCACAATCTTTTCACCACTGAAGGCTGCTTAGGGGGTGACACTTTGCTTCCTCTTATCCCTACCTCAATAACTGAAGATATGAATCAAGCCCTCCTTAAGCCTGTGGAAGAAGAAGAAGTTCATTCCTCACTTTTCAGTTTCCATCCTGATAAATCACCTGGGGAAGATGGGATGACTACAGCATTTTACCAACACTTTTGGAGCATAATCAAATCAGACCTCATTGCAGCTGTTCTCAGCTTCTTTCAGACAGGTATGATACTCAAATACTGGAACCACTCAGTCATCTCCTTAATTCCTAAGCACCAGAATCCTGAAAATATGGGTCATTTCAGACCCATCAGTCTATGCAGTGTGGTCTACAAACTTATCTCTAAAATTCTTGCTCAAAGGCTTAAAGTTTGTTTATCTCAATGCATAAGTGGTTTTCAAGCTGCATTTGTTGAGGGCAGGCAGTTGGTTGATAATGTTATCATTGCTCAGGAAGCTTTCCACTTCTTAAATAGACATGTTTCTGGTAAAAACTGTTTTATGGCTATTAAATTGGACCTTATCAAGGCTTTTGATCGTGTTGAATGGAGCTGTCTAAAGAAAATCATGTTACAAATGGGTTTCCACATGGATTTTGTCAAGTTAGTCATGATGTGTATTTCATCTGCCACTTTCTCTTTTAAAATTAATGGCTCTCTAAGTGGATATGTGACTCCCACCAGGGGTATCAGGCAAGGGGATCCTCTCTCCCCTTATTTGTTTATTATAGTGGCTGAGTTGCTTTCTGCCTTAGTGTTGCACTCTATAAGCAGTGGTCAGTTGAAAGGGATGAAAGTTTCCAGAAATGGCCCATTACTCTCTCATCTTTTATTTGCTGACGATTCTTTGATTTTCTGTAAGGCTGGTATTGATCAGGCTGGGATATTGTTGACTTTATTGGAGAAATATAAACTTTTCACTGGCCAAGCAGTGAATTTACAAAAATCGGCCATTTTCTTCAGCAAGAATACACCACAGCACTTGCAGACTTCTATTTGCTCAGTTTTGAATGGGATTGCTTCTCACAGATCCACAAGGTATTTGGGCTTGCCCTTGGGGATAGGGAGATCAAAGAAGGAAGTTTTTGCTTATCTTATTGAATCAGTGAAGTGTAAACTGCTTAGTTGGAAATCAAAACTTCTAAGTAATGCTGGCAAGGAGGTCTTATTAAAGTCTGTCATCCAAGCACTCCCAACTTTTACAATGTCTTGTTTTAAGCTGCCCATTGCTCTATGCTCTGAAATAACAAAACTTTGTGCTCAGTTCTGGTGGAGAACAGGTTCTGATCAGTCTCAGGGTATTCATTGGAAGAAATGGAGCTGTCTGTCATTACCCAAACAGCAAGGTGGTCTTGGCTTTCAGGATTTGCTTTTGTTCAACAAGGCATTAATTTGCAAACAGCTGTGGAGAGTGGCTTCAAATCCAGATCTTCTAGTGAGCAGGCTTCTTAAGGACAGGTACTTTCCGCAATCCTCTATTGTTCATGCTAAAAAGATTCAAGGGGGCTCTTGGATGTGGAATAGCTGGATGGATGTATTTCCTATTTTTGCAAAGTGTATGAGAATTGAGGTGAGAAATGGGTTAAGTACTAGAATTGCTGATTTTAACTGGGTGCCTCATTTATCAAAACCAACTCCCACTCTAATTCTTATTGCTAGAGACCACTTGATTTGGGTCAAGGATTTGATGCATGCTGACAGTAGTAGATGGAATGAATGGCTCATTAGGCAAGTTTTTGATGTTGAGGATTGTAATGCTATATTGGGTATTTCCTCTTTGAATGCTGATAGAAGTGACAGGTTGTACTGGGGGCTGGAAAAGAAGGGATACTTCTCTGTGTCTAGTACCTATAAGTACATGTCCAATCTTAAACTCTTGCAAGCTGACTGGCCTGAAAGCAGTAATGCTGCTGCAGTTAACAAGAAAGTGAAGTTCAGGTTCTGGAAACTGAAAGTGGCAGGCAAGCTGAAATTTTTTCTGTGGAAGTGTTTGTCTCAAACTCTACCAAATGCTGTCAATCTTATTCAAAGGGGAGTTGAGATGGACACTACCTGTTCTGTATGTGGTGAGATGATGGAAAATACTGAACACATTTTGTTCAACTGTCCAAGAGCAATGAGATGCTGGGAGATAAGTCCTGTGCAATGGGATGGCCTCAGAGATAGAACAACTTTCTTTTCAGATTGGTGGTATCATGTTTGTTCCCTGGACAACTCTGAAGTAGCTGAAGCCCGTATTCAACTAACAACCTATATGCTTTGGTGGCTTTGGAAGGCCAGGAACATCTGGATTTTTCAAAGGATTTGGCTTCCTGAACATGTGATTGTGAAGATGGCTTTGTCTGACTGGTTATCATTCTCTTATGCTTCAGTTTAGTTTCTTTTCTTTCTCTTGGTTTTCTTTATATTTTGGTTTTCAGACTTGATTTGGGGAAATTTTCTCCTGGCTAGGCTTTTTTAGCAGTGGTTGGGTTTGTTTCCTTAGATCTTTGGTTAGTTGGTTAGTTCTCCGAGTTTGGTTTGGTTTGTTTTAGTTTGCGGCTTTAGACCACCTTTGGTGCGTCTCTCAGTTTGTATTTTCGATGTTGTTTGGTCCTGTATTCGAACGGTGTTCGCTTATTATTTATATAGCTATCTCTGTCGTTTTGGGAAAAAAAAAAAGAAAAAATATATACAAAATGTTTGTTAATCGGTTGATGACGATATTTTGATACTTTTATATGTTTATTTAATAATTTATACATATGGTTTTCTGTTTTGATCACTTTTTTGCAATCCAGTATTCATTAGTATGCAATTTGGTAGCACTATTGTGCATTAGCAATACATAATAAGGGAGCATAGGGTTCTTGGGCGATTATCTCGTCTGAGATCAATTCCTTCTTCTTCTCTCAATTGGGTTAAATTAATTTTATTAATTATAAAATAATATTAGATAAACTTGTGGTATATTTTTCTGACATAGATTTGAAATATTCATACTAAGGAAAAAGTCAATTAGATGTAATTGTACAACTATTACCAATATTAAATATGTGAATTAAAACAAAAAAATAAATCAGTTGTATGTTAAACTATTATTCAATTATTGCTTGAAAGGGAACACCATAATGGTTGTAAAATTTTTTTTTTTTGTGAATATAAACATGAATTAGTTACTTAATATTTTATCAGAACATGGAAATAAATTCAAAACCTTTTAATATTATAAACAATATAAAACTACATTTTTATCAAGTATATTATTACTATCAAGCACGTAAAAAGAATGCATTGCATATAATATTCTCTAATTCTTTCAAGAAATAAAATATTATTTGTGAATAAAATAAAACAAATAAAAAACAAGTAAACCAATAGTAATGCAATGAGGAAAAGAAAAATTCTAAATTTTTTTAGAAAAGTATGAATACTAATATCAAGAAACAAAAATCTTTTAAAATTACTACTTTTTTTGTTGCTAGCATTTAAGTATATATTCTCTATAAGAAATTAGTTCTCATAAATAATGATTCGATATTATCATAAAATAGACCACAAACTTTAATAATGACTTCATAATAATAAAGTTAACAAATGACTGAGAGTATCATAATATAGTATAATTCAAATTCTTCTCATCTAAAATATTTTACTTCTAAATATTATCTCATTGTTTTGTTTTGTTTTGTTTTGTTATTATTGAAGAATCAATGAAGGATCTTTATCTTGAATTTTTTAAGAATTAATTATGATACAAAACATTGGACAATAAACGCAATAAATGTTATTAGACACATAAATATTGCAAATCTGAAAGAATATGGAAGGTATCTATCTTCCAAATTAATAACACTGAAAAGGGAATGTTTAATACTGATTAAAATATTTTTGAATGTTGAATAAGTTGTCACTTTTTGATAAGAATTTACAATCATAATTGTGTATTGTGCTCGATCATACGCGCATTTGTTTTAGAGTACATATTTTCATGTAATGTGTGATGATTTTAAAAAAATAATTTAGCATCTTCATAGAAGTACATGATTTTGGAAAATCAAATTTTATTTAGAGATGAAATTCGTTCTCACCTCATGGGGTAAGTACTAATTTGTCTATGTGGAGAGAGAGAGGGAGAGAGAGAGAGAGAGAGAGAAATGTAGTAGTTTATACATTGATTAAAAGAAATACCAAGAATTTTAATGACACAAATATCAAGAAATTTAATGATACAATTGCTTATCTCATAGAGATACTTATGAACTATTAGTAGAAATACCTTATAATGATCATACAATCATAAAGTTTGACTATATATTTGGCTAAAGTATTTCTAAGTGTTGAATAAAACAGACGTTTTGCAAAATTAATTAAGAAGAATTTTGTAATACTATTGATGTATTAGAATTCAACGAGTATGAATGTTTTCTTATGAGAACATCAAAACCAAAATAAAAGAAAATGACTCTTGAATCTAACATAAATAAATAAAAGAACTCATGCATCTATAATATACATTATGTCTTTATTTAGTCATTTATTGTTTTTTCATTAGGAACTCATTTTTCATATATTTTTGTTGGAGTTGTAATATGATATTTAAATCTTTTTATATTACGACAACATTTTTATATTTAAAATAAAATGCATGAAAAGTTAATTTATTCTACATTTTATTTTGTTCCTGCAGTCATATGTGTAATAAATTAATTAATTTATCTTACTAAATTTAATCGGTAAAAAAAACATTCGTCGCCACGTGCACTTTACTAGTAGATTAAAATGGCTTGGTGTTGTGCGTGACGTAAATTCCTCTTGAATTTTCCTTAATTATTAGTCCATTTGGGAATCCACTCAGTCAGCAGATGGATGGGCGATCACGTAAATAGGGGATGAGTGGACGGGCTGAGTTTAATACTAATTAACCAACATAAGAAATATGATCCCCTCCTACAAACTTACACATCCATCCCCACACACTAAACCCTCTCCAACAAGAAAAAGAATATGATGATCCACGAATAAGTAAAGCAAATTAGAAAAAAAAAAAATAAAAAAAATAAAAAAAAAATTAAAAATACACTTGTTGTGAATTATGAATCAAGGCGTGTCGCGGTTAACATCTTGGATCATCCGAACAACCTGGTCCATGCGGGGTCTCATGTCGGCCACCTTGGCTACGCACGACAGCCCAATCTGAAGCAGCTGCACCATCTCCTCCTCCACATACTTATAATTCCCCTTTGTGAGCTCGGCATCAAAAACCTCTGCGGTCCACTCCTCCCGAACCACGGAGCGAACCCACCTCGGCAGATCGGAGCAGTGTAGCGGTGATTTTCCTGTGAGCATCTCGAGCAGGACGAGGCCAAAGCTGTACACGTCCGACTTTTGGTCGTTGAAGCTCATCATCAAGTCGGATATGCAGGCTTCCTCCAGGCTGAGGAGTAGTATGTTTGAGGACTTGATGTTCCCGTGCGCAGCCTGCTGCGCGTGGATGTGAGCAATCCCACGGGCTGCGCTCACGGCCATCTTCAGCCTCCACTCCCACTCCACCCCTCTCCCTCTCTTGCCTCTCTTGTCTTTTCATTCATACCATACGCATAGTACACAACAACAAAGTTACTAAACATCCGAGATGGGATTAAAACCTAAACAAATTAATTTTTTTTGTCTTTTAAGTTGTGAAAAGAGCTCAAGTCAAGATCGATATGCATATGCCACCGTGCAATGCTGCGTATAAGCTTCCTCCAACCATGTACGGGTAAACCAGAAGCTTCTCGTCCTTGGAGAAATAATATGCGAGCAGCGAAACCACATTAGGGTGCTGGCTGACCCCACTCACGCTCTCCATCTGCTGCTCAAACTCCTTTTTCCCAATCCCCACATCCTTCAACCTCTTAACCACAACAGTAGTTGACTCGTCCAGAATGGCTTTATAAGTTGTCCCATGATTCCCTTTCCCGAGAACCTCAGCAGAGGCCCTCAGCAGGTCCTCCAGGTCAAAGCTATACGAGCACCCCTCAAAAAACACGAGTTTGTTCTTCTCACCTCCCTGCACCCCACTCCCAAAGTCATCCGATTTCAAGTTATTCACCCCCACGCTTGCATTCTTAGCTATGATCACTGTGGTTTTCCCATCGCTTTTCCTCTTCAACCACAAGTACACTATTGCCGAGAATATGAGGATCACAACACAAGCTCCAGCAAGGGCTCCCAAGCTCAGCATCTTTCTCGATCCGTAATTAGAGCTTTCATGAGAAGGAAAAGCAGACGCGGGGGAGCAAGAATTCAAAGGGGCCCCACATAGACGCTCGTTCCCTGCAAACGATGAAGCCGGGAAGTTTCTAAGGGAATCCGGGATCGCGCCACTCAAGGAGTTACAGCTCAAGTTGAAGACTTTAACTCTATGGAGGTCCAGATTCGGTATATTCCCGTGAAACGAGTTAGACTGAAGGTTTAACACGGACAGCCTCGTCAAGTTCCCAAGCACCAAAGGGATCTCACCACTGAAAGAATTGAAAGAAAGATCCATCACTCTCAGCTTGGAGGGGAGAGACAGAGGAAGCTCGCCCGAGAAGTTGTTATTCTGAAGGAAGATGAACTCGAGTGAAGGCAGCGAGAGAAGGTCGGGAGGTAGTGTCCCATTTAGGTAGTTGGAACGCAGGCTAAGGACCCGAAGAGCATTTAGGCGGCTGAGGGTGTTGGGTGGGAGAGGGCCGTACAGCCCAAAACCAGGAAGATGGATTTCGTTCACCCGGGTTTTGTCCTGTGTGCAAGTGATGCCGATCCATGAGGTGCACACTGAGATTGATTGGTTCCAGTTGAGCTTCCGCGCGTGTTTGACGGTGTTGGCAAAGTCGAAAAGGGCAGTCGAGTCTGATTCGAGATCAGAGGTGACAAGGTGCAGAAAGGAATATGCTAGCAGGAGTATTGATGAGACTTGGAAATGGAGCTTCATTTTCTTGGGAATGGCAAATGCACTGATTGATTTCTTGTGTTTACGTATACGAATCACACTTGCCTCATCTTGCATTTCATATTCAGAAACTCAGCATAAACTAGAAAAATCACTCAGATTCAGAAACAATAACAGCTAGTGCTACAAAATAAAAAAGCAAACTACATATTATTCCTCACATTTTTCTAGGCTGTGGGAGTAGGAAAAGGAAAGAACAACTCAACAATAGAATAGGAAAAATAATTGTTATTACCAACCAGTTATCATGACCAAGAATTTAAATTATCAGTCTTGTGGTTGCTTGTGTTTGAGAGCAGGAGACAATATAAATGGTAAAACCAGTTTCGACAGTAACAATATGTTTAAGCAAATAAATAACTACCTTCAAATGTTGATCACTCTATAGGTACCTTATTTGCCTTAGCCAGAAAGCANGTAATTATCATGCTAATGTCTGAAATATGTTTAGGCAAAAACAAATAAGTACTCATCTTTATCGAGGGTGTTCACAAACAATGGGCACTATTTGGAGAAGTGTTTCACTGCTGACAAATTAAAGTGGCAAGTGGGTGAGAATCAAAAGTGCTTTCAGAAAAGGGGAAAAAAAAAAGTGACACCAACAATCAAAAGTGGCAAGTAATCAAGAAGCTCTAAATTGGGTTTAATGCACCAAACTCCCTTGTATTATACGAAATCTGCGCGTTTTTCCCCTGTATTTTAAAAATTGCGTCAGACTTCCTTCTATTAAGGTTTTGTATGCGCGAAACACCCAAAATCGTCTAAATTTTGGGTGTTTCGCGCATACAAAACCTTAATAGAAGGGGGTCTGACGCAATTTTTAAAATATAGGGGGGAAACGCGCAAATTTCGTATAATACAAGGGGGTCTTGTATATTTTATCCGCTCAAAATTGTATAGAGTTAAAGAGTGTTTGGTAAAGAAAATTTGTAAATGCTCAATTTTTGGGTAGAAGTCAAATAAAAATATAATAGAAGCTTAAGGTGGCACTTGAAAACATTAATAAGAGGATGCTTGGATAAAAAAAAATCTCAAAAAAATTCAAACATTTTTAAGTTAACCATTTTTTTACTCAACTTTAATTCAACCACACTATCATCAATATTATTAATATAATTAAATAATATAAATCAATCATTCATACACACACCACATCAACTTTAATGCACTATTCATTTACTCACACAATTTTAACAAGTCATCACTTCAAATCATCTCTATCATTCTATTATATCAAATCAACTTTAATTATTTTATTTTTAGTACTATTTTAATATACCCACTAAAACTAACCATACCACATTTTTCAAATTGAAAATTAAAATTTAAAAATCCCTTATCATTTGGCTACTACTTTCTTTAGTTTGGATTTTTTTGAAATATATAACAGAGTCAGATAATACTAATTTGAAATATAAAATGAAATCGAATTGGAACATCTTACACAATTTTTTTCTTCCCTAAATTAAGTAATTTACAATTTAAAATACAAATTTGAAATTGATTGCATACACTTACACAATTTTTTTCTTCCCTAAATTAAGTAATTTACAATTTCAAAATAATAATTCCATAGCTTATCAAGAAAGACGTTTTACAATCTCCATTATATTTGGCTATGCAAGTGTAGTGCCCCATTCGATTTATAGAATTGCTCGGATTATTCTATTTATCGAATATTATTTATAAGGTTATATTTATTTTATTGGTCGCGATGTCGACCTAATTAAGGTGTACGCGATCGTTTTATTTGAATACGTTCGTTATTCGGCAATTTCGGTTTAATCGTGTGAACTGAATATAATCCGTTTGAATAATGAATTTTTCGGATATTCTGGCATTATTCTTTATTTTATTAAATTGCCAAAGTGAAATAATTGCTTGATAATATATTTATTATTGTCTGCTAATAAATATATGTTATGTCGGTTTGTAAGTTTAAAAAAATATACGGGTCGTCATATTTTATTTTCCGAGCGTTATATATATATTCGGATTTATGATATTGAGCCCGATAAACCGGTAGTCAAAACCAGCCGTCTCGTAAACCCGTCGTTTACTAATTATTTGGGAGCATTGTTATTATTATTATTATTATTATTATTATTATTATTATTAAATGTTTAAATGTTTATTATTATTATATTATTAATGTGTGTATCATATATATATGTATTAGTCCGGTTTTATTTTTATTTGTCGTGCGATCGAACCGAGATATTATTTTGGCTAAGTCGAGCCCGTAAAATCGCGAACTGAGCCGTGAGGAACCGGCCCAAGTTTTTAAATTTGCGCGCGCAGCGAACCGGTCGAACTGGACCCATCCCCCTCTTGTGCTTGTGTGGAGAAAGAAAGAGAAAAGAAAACCTAGCTTGAGAAATCCGTACACTAAAAAATCTCTCCCTCACTCACGTATATCGCGCCTCAGCAGCTCTCCTCCCTCTTTCACTCATCGAACGCGACAGAAAAATAATCTCTCACCGTTATCGTCGTTCTCCCCTTCTCTCCCTCGTCTAATCTCTCGCTCTCTTCAACACAATAACCCCGCAGCCCGCGATCTCGTCGCTCTCCCTCGAACAGAAAGAAAAGGAAAAAATATACCGCACAGAAAAATCGATCGCTCCCTCTCGTCTTCCTCCTCACGCCGCCATCATCATCTTCCTCACCAATCCCTTGCGCCCTGCACCATCATCGTCTTCCTCCTCACGCGAACCTTCCCTGGCCGTGAACAGCCCCGGCGTGACCCTTGTTCGCGCACACGGAACCAGCAGAGAACATTCGATTGCCGCCTCTCCACCCTCATCAATCCCCTGCTCCCTCCACCACGCGAGCCCAGGCCCTCCCGGCGTCCACCGCGCGTGTCCGGCCCCACCGTCGCACGTCTGCCGAGAAGCGGCCCCCAAGCATTCTTTTCTCGTTCTTTTTCCGAGCTTTTCCCGAGAACGGTATTCTTTCGAGCCCGGACTGAACTTATATTGTTTCTCAGTATTATCAAATCAAAATATGTAATAATTCAAGTGAAAATCATAAGATTTTATTGTCATATCGTGTTTAATAAGACCGAGTTGGACCTCAGACAATGTGTTTTGCGATATATCGAATGTTTAAGTCTTAAAGTATTGATATCGAGGCTTGCTTAACGTGTAATTTACGTGATTTCAAGGCTATGTTGAACGTTTTGAGTTGTTAAAGGCATGAAAACCCAAATTTTGAGCCTCAGTTGTGCTCTGTTTTTGTCGACCAAGAAGCTGTTTCTTGGACAAGTGTTCTTCTTGAGTTTTGTAGTGCTTTGAGTTAGGTTTCAGTGGATTTTTGAATCTTGTGATTTAGTTTTGAAATGTATTTTATATGAATTTTGAAAGGCAGACAGGCATGCAGTGTTTATAAACTCGGAGACTTGGACCTTAATTCATGGTTGTTTTTTATGATCTTAACGTGCCTGCATGAAAATGTATTCTTCATGACAAATGTAGTATATGTTGTAAGTTGCTTGTAAGAATTAGAAGCATGCAATTAGGAGTTCCAGTTGATTTTATATAATTTTTCTAAGTGGGATGTACACCCAGTTTTTATGAAACCAAGATTGTGTTAAAGTGTTGAAAGTGTGCTCTGTTTGGATGACCCAAACGTGTTCGTATTAAAAAGTTCTCTTCATAACAATTGTATATTTCCATGTGTAGATTCTTTAGGTTTTCAGTTTGAATGAATTGGAGTTGTGTAGCTTGAGTTGTTGCCATTTTACTAAGGTGTTGTATATTCGAAAAGTTGTTCTTTGGTTGTTTTTATGAACTGAATGTTTTATATTTAACCTCATTGATAATATCATTATTTGCCAATGGGGTCTCTAGAAAAGTTGTAGAGAATTGAGTTAGATACCTTGGGGTTTTTGAATTGTAGTAATATCATGTCTGCAACTTCAGTTATTTTGCATACACTGAGGACCTGTCAAGTTGTATGTCTTCATTTATCCACTGCAGCTATGTTTTGGATGTTGGCTGTATTATGTGCATTTAAATGATTTCATCTGCCTGAGTGTTTTTCATGAGAGTGATAGAGGCATGAGTTAGAGATATTCTCCAAGTGGTTTCATCATGATATGACTTGTAGACTGAAAGCTACATGTATTTTAAATTCATCGCGCATGCTGAAAATTGGTACAAGTTCATGTTTAGGTTTCTAAATCGAGTTGTATTGTTTAAAAGCATGTTTATGTGGCATAACTGAACCATGTCATGCTATGCGATGTTTATATGATCCGTCAATGTCCTAAGCGTTAAAAGTTAAGCAAGCCAAGATATCCACCAACCGAAAAGACTTATACATAAAACGTTTTCAAAGCAAGGCGAGCAAAGCGAAGCCAAGCGAGCTAGTTTTCAAAGCTTATGTATATGTATAAGACTAGTGAGTTTAAGTTAAGCCTCGATAAGATTCTAAGACATGTCCCAACGAATGTAGGTAATTGAGGAGTCAAGCCTCGACCTACGTCCTTTCTGATTTTGCTTTTGTCAATCCAAAAATCCAGGTGGGTTAGTTATTCTAAAATACCTGTGCATATGTGTTTAGGTTTTTTCAGAATGTGTTAAAACGGTATGATCTATGTATGCATGTGAGCATGTAGCCTATCAATGTGAGCTTGATGGCCATCGGTACTGTTGTCCCCGTCGATGTAATACGGTTACCCTTACGAGGTAAATCTCTTTAAGACCTATGAGAAGGCCGTGTCATTGATGTGGCATGCACTCTCATGTCATTGATGTGGCATGGATAAGCTTAGATGTGCACATAAGTGAGTCTTTGATGAGACTAGAGTCATTGATGTGACTAGAGATGAGACATGATGTTCTTATTGTTTATGTTCATGCTGCGACCATACCAACCTAACATGTTTCTACGTTGTTCATATGCATAGTGTGAGTACAATATTTTCAAACTGTAGTCACTCCCACCTGCTCTTTGTGGATGCAGGTTAAGCAGTTTGCGGGTGACAAGGCAAGACGAGTGGGTGGTCTTCCTCATTTATGATTATCATTATTATGCTTCCGTTCATCTATAACTGTTATTATGACTTAGTTTTATTTTCCTGCTTTGACCTAGATAATTAAGTTTATGTCATTTCTAGCCTTGGATTATGTTTTAATTTCACGGTTTTGGAACTTATTGGATGCTAGTTAAGTTTTATACCTATTAGTCGTGCATGTACCAATTTTATTTGAGGTGATTGTATTTTCGATTAATAGTTCTTAGTAGATAAGTAGCGCCCACTGAGTTTTAAATTAAATTTGAGATTTGCGAAAAAATAACTCTGATTTTTACTAAATAAATTCGATAAAGCTTTTAAAATAAAGTGGGGCGTTACAGCAATCTTCATAAATGCAGTATAAATCATATCATATATGTCCTAATATAATTTGTGGCGATAGACGATATACCAAAAGACCAAACAA